AATGGAAGGATGAAGTGTGCAGCCGGAGCGGTGATGTTCCTTCTCTCCTTGCTTTCCCCCGCAGGAACGTAATCCGCAATGATAGTTCTCAGGTTGCTCAATATTGTCGCTCCAGCCTACTTCTTGTGCATCTCCCTAGTGACTTTCGTCCTCCAGATCTTTCTCTTCATCCCCAGCATGTTCAGAGACCCTTCCACCACCCCACTTTTCTCTCCTGCTCTGCTGCATGGGGCCCTCTTCCTCTTCCTCTCAGCTAATGCCCTGGGCAACTACGTCCTTGTGATCCAGAACTCCCCCGAGGACTTGGGCAAGGGCTTAAACTTAGGCAAAGGAGCCGAAGTGTTGGCAGACTGGCTGGATGGAAGCAGGTCCCCTGGCTCAGCCTTGCCCAGCACTCACTTCTGTAGACTGTGTGCCAGAGTCACCCAGAGGCATGACCACCACTGTTTCTTCACAGGGAACTGCATCGGGAGTAGAAACATGCGAAACTTCATCATGTTCTGCCTCTACACCTCCCTGGCTTGCCTCGACTCCCTGGTGGCAGGCATGGCTTACATTTCTGCTGCACTCTCCATGTCCTTTGCGAACCCGCTGGCCTTCCTCACTCTTCTGCCACACTCCATCAGCCAGTTCTTCTCAGGTAAGGACTCCTTCCATGGAGATGAGAAGCATCTTCCTCCTCCAGGGCTCCTGCGGTTGGGTGGGGACATGATCTTTCTCAGTTGTGTGCGGGGAGTGGTCGTGGGGAAGTGGGCAAGAGGGAGAATTGGCTGTGTTCAACAAAGTCCTCTTTGGAGGCTAGAGACAGCATTTGCAAAGGACTTTGTTTCACCTGATATAGGGGCTGGGACCCACTCCAGGTTACAGCCACAGCCCTTTATCTAACACATTAGGCTCTGGAAAATGCCCCATAACCGGACTGACAGTGATAGAATAAGGCTGTCCATTGTGCAAGGAGCGTGTTGCAATTAGACAGAGGAGAGGGATTTCATTCACTGTAGTGCAGGTGACAGGGATCTTTTGCCTGTCCTGCAAGCAGAACTGGGGGGTCTGTTGGTTCCCCAGATCGCAGCAGAGATATTCTCGTTTTCTTCATTCAGGTCCACTCACCTCCTTCACTGTCACCTACACCTTGCCTCCTGGCAGCACAAGCTTGCTGAGATCTTGCCATCCTTCCAGCACAGTAGAACAAGGGTTGAGGAGAGAGAAGCTGAGAGGAGTTAATGTGACATGATTAACCACCTCTCTTGTGACTGCAGTCTTGAACACAGGTCCACAGAGAGCCTGGGAAAATTCTCTGTGGCTCCTCCTTGCCAGAGCTCCACATCAAAAGCAATACCTCTTTCCCCTTGTCCCCATTCATTCCCTTTCATTCTGCTTCCTTCCATTTCCCCTCTCTCCCTGCCTTTTCATAAATCTCCACAACCCTTCCCCTTCCCTCTCCTGATTCAGCTCCCATAACTCTTTCTCTGCCTTGCCTCATCACCTTTCAACTCACCCTTAAACTCTCTAACCTCAACCTTTTCCCTGTCCAAACCCAAGAGCTAGATAAATCTGGGTCTCAAAGAAGGGACTGTGCAAACAGCCTGGACTGTTACTCTGCCCTGAAAGCAACTGCAGAAAAATGCTGTTCCCACCCCATGCAGCTCATGCCTCGCACATTTAGATCAGCTTTCGTTAGACTAAAATAGGTATCCCATATATTTTAGCTTTCCAGATTCAGCTGAGCTCAGTAAGAAGGGCCTGGCATCTGTCTTGGCTCATGCACCGTTACCAGAAGTGTTGATTATGATCTGAGAGTGGAGTCTCCGCTGCTGAGGATACAGAAGCCAGAGAAGCCCCAGCCTGCTTTTCAGATTCCAGGCTGAGTTTGCAGGGTTGCCATCTGAAAATAAACAAATATCTCTCCACTTGGCAAATTAGCAGATTTGTCATGGTAATCACAGACAATAAACACAAAATCCTGCCATGCCATTTTTATGGAGTCATTTTTCCAAGTAGAAAAATTTTTGTAAATAATGTTGCACAGGCTTCACTAGCATTAAAAACACTGGGAATGATTTTCCCCTGTGCCTAAGCTCTTCTCAGCACAGCAGCCTGGGAGGGGGAGCAGGGATGTGGGAGGAGATTATCAAGGAATTAGTTTTCTCTTTCTCTCTCTGGCTCTGAGGATTCGTCTGCACTGAGCTGGGTCCTGGCGTATGTTTGAAGAGCCACTGAAGTGCCTCAGCTCTGGTGTCAGCAACTGCAGTGCCAAAGACAGCATGTGGGCAGTGTTTGAGTGGGACATAACGGGGCTGGGTGCAGGGCTGGGCGCTGGGAGCCAGAACACTCTTGGGAAACAGCAGCTCCCAGCATCTCCCACCGAACCTCCACCTCAGCTGGTGGGAGAACTGCTGCCTCACACAGCATTATATGGGTGCATGGTGAATCAGTTGCTTGGGAGGAAGGGCCTGCTGGGTTTCTACCAGCAGATTTAAACTCCAGTTAAGGAAAGAAAAGCACAGCCTGGAATAATTACCTGGAAGGCTTGTCCATCTAATTTTTTTTTTCAACTAACATGACTATTACTGTTGTAGGATCCAAACAGAGCATTGCTATAGCAGGGAAAAAAATTACCTTCTCCATCATGCCCTCTGCACTGGAGGAGGAGTAAAGGAGGATGAATTTGATGGTCTTATGTCAACTGAGTGTTCTCTGCTTTCATGCTGGGAAAAATTTCAGTTTGCTTGTTCTGCCTAGACTATGCTCAGGCATGGATTTCAGAATCTGACCCAGAGTTTATAATTTCAGCCTGTGATTCAGCTTTTCTGGCATAGATAATGTATGGTGACAAAGCTCAAGGTCACACCAGGTCAGTTAAAGCAGAAGTGAATCCAAGCCTAAAATGGACTGTAGTGATGAGGGACAAATGGAGAGCACTTTTGTAAACACAGGTCAGATTGGATCCACAGAAGAAATTACAGAAAATGCTTTAGGTAGGTAACCTGAAGAAAAGGTTAAAAAATCATGTATCTGGAAAGCATGGCTCAGACATGCTTAATATTTGCAAGGGGAAACAAAGGTAATTATTTTCTGGATGCTGAAACTCAGTGGCTCATAGAAATAAAGCTTACAGCCACCTTGCAAAGGTTCTAAAGAAAATAGCTGTCTTTCTCCATATCCTGTCTGAATATCAGCTGTATGAAAAAACAGATGCCTGACACACTCTGATCCAGTAAAAGAGGGGCAGAGAAGCCCATATTTGGCTCTGGGCTTCCTACCTGGTAGATTAAGCTATTCCGACAGGATTAGTTTGAGGATTTGTGATCAACCTAAGGGGCTTGTCCCTCCCTTGCTGTATTGCATACAAAGTCCACTGAGCTGAATGGGATCTAATAAGAAGGGAAAGATGACATTGCATTTATGAAGAAAACCAAATGACTCCTGTGTCTTTTTCAAGTGAGGACAATCTCTGAAAGCTTGAGGCGGCAGTCAGTGTCCTTCCAAATCACACTCAGAGGGGCCTGCTAGCTTAGCCCAAAGCTTGATGTGATTGTCACAGGTCGGACCCAACCTCTCACTTACAGCCCTGATTCACTTACAGCCAGCATTCACAGATTGCAAAACCAGATGACACCACCTAATCTGGCCTTCTGCATAAGAGAAGCAAGAGATGCTTACCCAGCCACCTTCGTAGGGAATTTAAAACCCGAAGCAGCCACTACCTGTTTTAGGCAGCACACCTCTGCTGCCCATACAATCCCTGTGCCAGCAGAACTGCTCTTGCAGGTCTTGAGAGCAACCAGAGCTTTCACCTGCCCAAGCGTGTCTGCTCCAGGGTCTTCCAGAGGGACAGGACCATGTGAGAGCTTTTTAATTTCTAAACTTCACAAGAACAAGTGAGAGGATATCAGCTATTTATGCCAGTATTGACACACGTTAAATTTTCTTTGTGTGCTTGTGTGTAAATATGGGTGTTTAATAACATACCAATACACACAAAATATGTGTGTAAACAGAGAATGTTATTTTAATAGGTTTAGATCTGCCTACGCACTGAAAGGTCATTCAGCGATACCTACTATTGTACTAATATTTTCCAGAAGAAGTTTTAAAATCATTGTAGAGGAAAGTGCCCAGATAATATTTTTATTCAAATATATTCAGCAAAAATATATACTACAAAAGCTGTTGAATTAGGAGCTTCAGGCCTGCGAAATATTTTGACTACTCTAGCATCAGCTTTAAAAAAGGAATTTGGATGGCATTTTGAAAAGTTTTCTGTTTGTTTCTTGCATTCATATGAAAACTGCCTTTGTCTAATGGTAGGAAAGTCACTACTGATTCATTTTTCTTTTTAAACATATTTTACACAAACATGTATGTATAAATGTATAAATGTATCTATGTATATATAAATATAAACTGAGAGAGAGACAGAGAGAGAGAAGCATCTACACGCTGTATGACCCACATCTCTCTTCAAAAGGAACCTAGAAATTTTAGATTCACTGTGATGAGCAGATAGATCCTTAAATAAATTATCCATCCTTCAAAACAGTGCTGAAATTTTAAGGACGTATTTCACTTCTGGCCGAATTTGCCTCTGCAATCTAACAGCAAAGGGATAAGTGTACGGAAACTGTTATCGTTTTAGCATTTCCCCAGCAGGATCCATTGCATCAGGTGCTATGAAGGAAACAATTTTATATAGTTAAAGCAACCAGTGTGTCTTGCTCCTAACTCCCCACTCGTGGCCAGAGAATATAGGCAGCTTGCTGGTTCTCAGGGCTGAGTCTTACACTGGCACATAAGGTGTGTCTAAACTCTTTCTTTTGTTTTCCTCCTTTCCCCTGACTTTTGGTCTGCAGGAGCTCTGCCTAGCTCTGAGATGTTTGTCATCCTCATGCTCTACCTCTGGCTTGGGATCGGACTGGCCTGCGCTGGCTTCTGCTGCCACCAGATGCTGCTGATCCTGCGTGGGCAGACGCGGTACCAGCTGCGGAAAGGGATGGTGGTAAGAACCCGGCCCTGGAGGGAGAACCTGCAAGAGGTCTTTGGCAAGAGGTGGCTGCTAGGACTTCTCATCCCTGTGCTGAACGTGGGAAGTGACTACCGTAAGCAGAAAGAGAAATAAAAACCACATGTGTGTGTGTGTGCGCATCCTGTGCACACAACACCTCCCCTGTTCTCTCCCACTGTCTCCTGGATCCCTAAAGAGCTGGGCTACCCCATCTCTTGGGATTGCAGCCACTGTGGGAGGAAAGGACTGGCTATCAAACAGAATAAATCTAGAATATTAACAAGGAGATCACAAACCATGTAGATGAAGAGATACTGCAGCTTAGTAGTCACATCACTGCACCTGCGCATATGGCAACAGTCTTTGAACTAGCAGAAAAATTAGTCAGACCCTCCTGTGGCTTCCTACCTGACTCCTCCAGCCTCCAGTCCCACAAGCCACCCTATGTAGTCCCTATCAAACCACAGCAGGAGCTGTCAGAGAGCCTGGGCTGTTGTGATAGAGTGTAAAAATGATGTGTGTTGCTTGGGAGGGTTTTGCAGGGTACCTTTTGTCTCTTATATACGGGAGGTAACTTCACAGTACTGAGAAGCCTTTAATGACTGAACTGCAATGCAGTCAAGCTGCCCTGGGAGTAGACTATGAACATAGCTAATGTGGGAGGTAAACCTCTCCACAGCTAGAAAATTAGGAAGAAAACAAAGAGAAACCCAGATTTTTTCATTTCTGTTCTTGATCTGCTCCCTATGCAATGACATGTCAGGACTGTAGCTCTGTTACTTATTTTTAGCAGTACTTTGCCCAGTGACACAGTCCAGGTAAAGCTGCCCTTCTGACAGGGAGCAGCAAGCAGATAAATCGTGATCACAGGCACAAGGACAGGAAACTGCAAAGGTGTATGAAAAGGCTGTGTTTGAGAAGCAGTGTGATGAGGCCGGTTATGTGTGCTTGTGAGAGAGAAAGAGAGAGAGAGAGAAGTGTGGACACAGAGCAAACTGTCAGGAGGTGCCAAGAGCCCTGCTGCTGTGTCCGAGCCCTGACGCATCACCCTCGTGCAGGGGTCACCTGCTCCATTAGTGCTGTGAAGAGTTCAAAATCCTAGAAGACAGGGAGGTTTTCCAGCCAGTCAGGATGCTTCACTTTGCACTAAAACAAACGAAAAAATGTTTACCTCAGGCATCCCTACCACACCGTAGTTACAGGCCCTCCAGGGCAATTCCCTCTTGCACTGCTGCGGAGGGGTAAATTCATCCGTGTTATAACTCCATTAAGGAGGTTAATGGAATTACTACAGGGATTAATCAGCCTAATGTGTCAGTTGTTTTCTAGCTGCAGCAACGGCTCATGAGATCAGTGCTGAGATCCTATGCTAATAGATGCCTTAAGAAAGGATACCATGACATCTCTACCAGGATCATAGCGCTGGATTCTCCAGCAGCCACCACAAGAAACCTCCATTTTGGCAATCTGCATCAGCTTATGTGGGCTGGACGGCAATCCAGTGCTTCTCTTTAATAGGCTGGGGAGTATGCTGACAAGATGTGAAAAATGTTATTTCTTCCTCAGAAATGCTCTCAGTTCATCCCAGGTAGCAGAAGGCACCTGCTTGCATCGTTGCATTTCTCACAAGGCAGTCATTCCTACAGGCTTGGTAACCATCCTTCACGGCTTGACACTTGTATACACATTTGGATCAACAGCAAACAAAGTCTATTGTGATGAGCAGAGTAACCATGAAAATACACTGGAAAAATCCTTAGCTGAATAATTAAAACACATAGGATATACGTCCTTCCGCAACGCGTGTGTGCACATGAATGCACCACTGTTTCCATGTGTAATAAGCTGTATTTTCACTAAAAATGAACAATAAAAAGTATTCTGTTTTTTTACATGAGTGATATTGTGCTTTTTGACAGTTCATTAGCTGTCTCTGTACATTTGTTAGAGCATACACACGGACACGTTGAAGGAGAAAGTTAGGATTTGTTTATTGGCTTTGCATATAGTTCATCATATGATTTTGAACAAGTCCTTTCACCCTTCCTACTTTAATGTAACGATAAATCTAAAAATGTATCTAATAACCAACTTGCAGACCCATTCTAATTTCTATTTATAAATTACACTATCAACCTCAAATGAAAGCTACAGGAAAATTAAGCTATTATCGTCGCCTACAAACAGCACCTCCATGTAAATTATTCCTTACGGGCAAAACGGCGTCAAGGTGAGCAGAGTCACCTTGTCACTGGAACCAGAGCCAGCGCCTTGTGCCATACACCTTGCCTTGGAAGGATTCCCAGGATTATTCTTACTCCACAGACCAGCTGATCCAACTCCTTTCCTTTTTCTGTGTATTTCTGAAGTCAACAGGTTCCCAACGTTTCAGCCAGCAGCTTCCTCATGTCAGCAGAAATTATGGTTTGACACCCTCACCCTCTGCTTTTGGCATTTGATTGACACTGCAGTCTTGGGCAGCTCGTGGCACTCGCTGCCTGCTGCCACGCTGCCTGAGGCTGTAAGCTCTTCTGGGCTGGATGCTGAGAAGGGCACGACCAACTCGGAGTTTCAGTGGGCTGCTTTGCAAGGACAGCCTCCACACAGCACAACAGGATTAGTTGTGCGTGAAGCCTGTTGCCTCTTCACACCAGGGTCAGATCACGCCTGGCCCCTGCCTCATGGCCACAGCTGTCTGCCCTCGCTGCGAAGTCTCGGTCCTTGCTGAAGCACAGAGAGATCCCAGTCTGAGTAAGTGCAGCACAGTTCTTATTCTGCATAATTACTCTTTCTGTCAGACACCTGTGTTCCTGCCTGTGAATTGCTGCGTTGCCATTTTATGCAGCTAAACTGTTCCTTTGCAGCAAACTACTAGTTTTCAGTAGTGCTGGAACTTACAGATGGATACAGCCTTTACAGTTATGATCCTGTGGGATGAAAAGAGATTAAAAATGTAACATTAGACTGACCTTGTATATTGGCTTATTTCTCTTCTCATTCCCAGGTTTTTGGACTGTCCTGTTTGGGCTAGAGTAGTGGTTCTGCAGGAACAGTTGAGAGCAGCTCTTTAATTATCCAGCTGCCCTGACATCTCTTCCTTGTCATATCCGTGCATTCACTTGTAGAAGTCCTTGGCAAGAAAATGTAACAGAGCTCAACAACTGTGAACAGAACTTTTGCTCTTAGCTATGATTTAGTAAATGAAGGCTGAGTTCAATGGCAATGTCACAAATTCTAAATCTGTTCAACGGCTCTGAAGTTCTATAAGGATAAATAATGAAAGCTTCTCATTTTCTGTGCTTAGAGAGCCATTGCCTATTATTTGCATTTTATTAAATAGCAGCTGCAATAGCAAATATATATTTGGAACATGATTTCTTGTGACAATGTCTAAATACCTTAAAAGCTTTTTAAAATAAAACACTTAGGGCTCCTCTGGCTTTGGAAAATCAGATGAGCATCATTTCTTCTCTGATAATGCGAGTGGCTGAATTAAAAACTCCGTGTTGCTTAAGACCTTGCATAAAAACCACAGACTTTTGCATAGCCGCTTGTCTACTTCAAGAGTGGCTACCTCAAAAAATCATGCCACCTCTAAGGTCTCAAAAGCCCTTGCAATGATGGTATAGAGAAAACCTGGGGATGCAACTGTGAAGCAGGACGGAAGAAGTCTGTTCTTATGTATAGCAAGAATCTCATTCAAAATATGTAGATGATTTTCCTCTTCATCCTACAGTAATGGGCAGCCCTCAAGGCCTGCATGCCAAAGGTCTTCATTGACTATCCTCAGAGGATAAAGAGTTAAAACATGAAGAGTATCGAGTAATAAGGCGCAGGGAACATGAGAAAAGATGACGTGAAATAGCATTTATCTTAAGAAATAGCCAACTCAAGGGAGAAAAATCCCGGTCTAAAAATACTTGCAAGGAGACAGAATAAATGGATGAGGAGACTCATTAACTATAAGGAGCCAGCTAGAGGAGGATGGCTAGTCCTGGAGAGAGAAAAAGAGAAGCCAAGGTCAGAGCTTAGGATGCCTATCATTAAAAGTGTCAGAAGAGAGCAGTCAGTGAGAGCAGAAGTGATTTGACTTTGGTAGGGATGATGCACTGAGAACCATCAGGCGGTAGGAGGTACGACAACAGAATTCAAGTTATCTTCATTGATTGCTGACTGAATGGACACAAAGAAAGCCCTGACTGAGAAAACTCATTGCTAATCACTTTCTGCACAAAAAACCTCAAAGCTCCAGCAGAGCCAAAAGGGTTTTTCTCTCTTGAATAGCTAATGATATTACAAGAAGAAAGTGCATGGGTGGAAGTCATAAGTAGCAACAGCGGAGTCTATGTAGTTCCCTCTGTGTTATTTAAAGATTATCCAGAACTATCGTGATTGGAGTAAAGCAATGACCTACTTATTCAATATAAATAAATAAAGAGAGAAGAAAATGTACAGCCTATGTGGAGTATCTGTGCTCTGTAGATATTTAAATCAATGGCAACACAATGTCAGACGACTTCCATTAATGAACAGTAAGATGTTTTCTAATAACTACATTCCAGAAAGCCAGGGGAATAAAGAGGCCTTGGAGATTACACCACAAATCAGCAAATACGGACCAATTAGTACTTCAGTCCGTTTATGGAGCTGTCCGGCCAGCAGCCTTGGCTTCATTACATCAGAGAGGTTTTAGCATTGCTTGTTCTGCTGAATCTACAGGGCAAGTGATGTCAGAGCTCAGGCAGGCCAATCATGCATCCCTTAAGGCTTTCAGGGCAACATCTTCTAGTCTTCCCAGATGTTTACAAATAAAAAATGCAAGCTCTTAAATACCAGTGTCATAGACTGTTTGCAGTGTACCTCATTTAACATGTTAGCAGACACCTTAACAATAGTTCTAGAATTGCTACTAATTAAAAATAAATGAAGCATGTTGATCAGCTTACTTCTGAAAAGGCAAAGTGGTGGATGGCAGCACCAAGCTCTGCCTGTGAAAGAGAAGGCTCACCATCGCTCAACAGCGATGAAAAGGTTTCATTTGTCTGCTACTGATTTTCTAAATGCTGCTGTTAATCTGCCTGGAATTTGAATAGTTGTAAACTTAGATTTCCTGTGATCACTGTATATCCATCAGCTCAGGGGAATGCACAGCCTCTGGCATGTATTGCAGCTGGTTTGCTCAGTCTATCTTTACCACCAACCATTCCCAGATTCACATTATTATCATGCCTGACTGGAAAATTTCCATTAGATGTCAGGTCAGTCTTTTAGCTGCTTGTGTAGGATAAGAAGAGATGAAAACACGAACCTGTGTGTCAT